AATTATCTCCTCGAAAAACTTGTCTTTTCTACAACAACCTCCTTGACTCTCATCATACTGTCACTAATGATTCCTCTGAATTCCTCTGATTATAAATCATAGTAATATCTGGTATATTTTCCTTCCTTTTCCATCTTATTGATAATCAAGTTCTATCAACTTGAACTATGTAATTTTTAATTTTTAAAAATTTATTATGCATCTCTGTTCTCTTCCTCCCTGAAACTTCCCTAATGGCTTTCATTTTCTCTCACCTGGATGATGCACCTCACTTCTAGCCACATTCGCTGACATCATTCTCCCTTTACTCTAACCTGAATCACATATCATGGCCATATCAATTTTCCTTAAACACTGCTTTCATATGCCTATGGAAAATTTTTAACAGCTGCTCTTTTCATAGAATAGAAACATATTAGAACTTATTCTACTTACAAAATAGGAACCGTGCTGACAGTTCTACTCTCTTAGGGAAGTACCGGGAAAGAAACCTCTGCCCTCTACAGAAGAGCCAGTGATTATCTATTTGATTAAAATTGGGGAAAGTTTACTGCGTAGTTAAGGCCCAACTTCTTTTTTCAGTTTTGTCTTTACTGAGTACATCTTGTATTTAAGGCTTTGCGCTAGGTGCTGCATGGACCAATTAGCCACTTCTCTTTCACTCTCCAGATTTTACATGAACACAGTCATGTCTTCTAAGGGTTCCTCTACCTTTTCTCCAACTGCCTTTGTTTCTTTTTCTTAGCCATAACTCTGGCATCCTTCCAAATTTTATTTGCATTTCATCCTGGATCACACTTCTCCAACCAGATCTGTCCTCATTGATCTTCATTTCTCTAAGTAGCCATTGAACACTCACAACCTTGCCTTACAAACAGATTGTAAACTTGCTGAGGGTGGAGATGATCATGTGATTCTGGGTATAGGTATATAGCACTGGACTGGCCACCACTAGCACTAGATAATTATTTGTTGGCTGATAGATACGTCTTGCTTGTCTCTTGTGGGATTCAAAAGAGAGATGCGGGATAACGGTAGAATGTTGTACAAATAGTTGTTGCTTATCGATTGCTTGGTTGAGGCGTAGGAGGGAAATTAATTTTATACCCTTAATGTGAAAAGGGTTTAGAGTTGCTAGAGCTTTTGCCTTTAGCCAGCAATGAGTAACTGACATGCTCTGAGAATGCTAATAGGACCTGACTTTCTGAGGAAGTTCCAAGTCTCCAAAGTAGGTTTAGAATATGCTGCGGGAAAGTCAGATTTATTTTATCAGCCTGCTACATTGCATGAGATTAATTAGAAAAAAGGCTGTGAATTCTCCATGGCCTTATCCAGTCTGTGCACACACTCCTCAAGGTTCCCTGCCAGCATTCCCAGTTAAAGTTATGTACTTGTACAAAATGTTAATATTATTTATTAATTCTTAGGCTTCTTCAATATTTGCTCAGCTGTCTTTATTCCATCTGTCCGTATCGGCATTCTAGGTCATTGTCAGAAATTTCCAAGTTGCAGAAAACCTGTTTGCTCTGCATTACAACACAGCATAGGACTCAATAGAGGTAGGTAATAAACACCTTCTAATGCAGATGACATTGATGTGACCACATTCCATTGAAATGAATCAAGCAATCAGCAAATGCTGAGAACCTGAAGGTGTTGAGGACATAAACTCAGCTTGCTTTTCACTTCAGGGTGGCAACACAACCTCCAGAGACTTTTCCTGAGAATGGAGCAATTGTCACCAACTCTAGTGGGATATATCCTTTCCTGTGCTGTTCTTTGCATTCCATTTGAATTGGCAATAGGCAAGATTGTCAGCATTTGTATCAAGGTATCTACCAAGGCAGGATTAGGGAGAAGCAAGAAGCAGAATATTTTTCCCTCAGGGCTTAGAAAAGAATGTACTTTCTTTCCCATAGTTGAGGTAAATTAAAGTTTTCATGCATAAATGACAATATAAACTCTTGCATCATATAGTGAGATAGAACCTGGCATCTTCTCATTTGTAGTCTGAGCTCTTGGAGTAAATGGACAAAGGATTTATACCTTATTGTATCCCTCCTAACCAGGATAGTAGATGGCAGGTACCTAATAAGTGATAAAAATAAATAAGTTTGGGTTGTCATTCCAGTTTCCATGATTACAATTAAGAGCATTAAGTTCAGATTGTAGATCATAGATTGAGGAGAAGTATATTTATCTACCAAAACTTTGAAGCTGATAGAAGATGAAAGGGGGAAGGTGACCTCAGGCTATTTACCAAGTTTCATCCTGAAGTGACATTTGGTTTGGACACGTGTATTCTCCAAGCAGTGCTGACTCATACAAGATAAAAGAAAAGCCAAGATACCTTTATACCCTGTATAACTGGGTATGAGAGACAAAGAAAGGCATTACATAATGATAAAAGGATCAATGCAGCAAGAAGAGCTCTCCACAGAACTGGAAAAAACCACCTTAAACTTCATATGGAACCAAAGGAGAGCCCGCATAGCCAAGGCAATCCTAAGCAAAAAGAACAAAGCTAGAGGCATCATGCTACCCGACTTCAAACTGTACTACAAGGCTAAAGTAATCAAAACAGCCTGGTACTGGTACCAAAACAGAGATGTAGACCAATGGAACAGAACAGAGTCCTCGAAGGCAATGCCACACATCTACAACCATCTGATCTTTGACAAACCTAACAAAAACAAGCAATGGGGAAAGGATTCCCTGTTTAATAAATGGTGTTGGAAAAACTGGCTAGCCATGTGCAGAAAGCAGAAACTGAATCCCTTCCTGAAACCCTACACTAAAATTAACTCCAGATGGATTAAAGACTTAAACATAAGACCTAACACCATAAAAACCCTAGAAGAAAACCCAGGCAAAACCATTCAGGACATAGGCATAAGCAAGGACTTCATGATTAAAACACCAAAAGCATTGGCAATAAAAGCCAAAATAGACAAATTGGATCTAATTAAACTCCAGAGCTTCTGCACAGCAAAAGAAACCATCATTAGAGTGAATCGGCAACCAACAGAATGGGAAAAAATGTTTGCAATCTACCCATCTGACAAAGGGCTAATATCCAGAATCGACAAAGGGCTAATATCCAGAATCTACAAAGAACTAAAACAGATTTACAAGAAAAAGACAAACCAACCCATTCAAAAGTGGGCAAAGGATATGAACAGACACTTTTCAAAAGGAGAAATTTATGAGGCCAACAAACGTGAAAAAATGCCCATCATCATTGGTCATTAGAGAAATGCAAATCAAAACCACATTGAGATACCATCTCACACCGGTTAGAATGGTGATCATTAAAAAATCTGGAGACAACAGATGCTGGAGAGGATGTGGAGAAATAGGAACACTTTTACACTGTTGGTGGGAGTGTAAATTAGTTCAACCATTGTGGAAGACAGTGTGGCAATTCCTCAGGGACCTAGAAATAGAACTTCCATTTGACCCA